CAGCAATAATAACACTTAGCAATGATACAGAATAAGACTAAACAATCTGCTGTAAATTCAGTATAACATTTTGACAAAGCTAAACAGAAAACTTAATAAATAAATAAATAGAGGTGATTTTTTTTTTTTTTTTGTTGTTTTTAACTGAAACCAAAATCAGTGCACTATGTTGCAGTTGTTGCGCTTAGCATTACTGATTAGCTGACGACCATTCTAAAGAATATATACTCTGTTCTAAAACTTCTTTAGCCGATTTCGTTTATAAGATTTTTTTAAGACAGAAATAAAAAATTCATTTATTAACAATAATGTTGATACAAACAAATAAAAAAAAAACTATTTAAAGTTAAAGGTTGATAGGATATAAAATTTAGATACTGTTAACTTCGGTTGTCATCATTCTTAAAGGCACTGTTTTACCAATTCTGAACTATCTAGACAGTCGAAAACTTTGACACCAATCAGATTATACAGTCCACCTAATGAATCTCGGAAACCAGCAAAAACAGCATCAAATAATTGTTTAACTTTTGGCATTACATCCTAAAATACAGAACAAATATAAAAAAATCAATATCAGTATAAGAACTGACTTTAATTTATCACTTGCTTACTATTTACTATTCACTAATTACTAATTACTATCTACAACTTCAGAAAAAAAAATGTAAATTCTTTTAGAAAGAAAATTTATTTGTTTTAATATTTCAGTAAATGAAATACAATTTTTTAGGTTTTTATACAACTTTTATTATAGTCATACAGCGGAATAATAGCTGAGACAATCTGTTGATTTAGCTATTAAATAAATCCAGTAAAAATTAATTTAAAATTTCTAATTATTTGTAGTTTTTTGTTTAAAAAAAAAAGTTTACCGAGACGTCTACAAGCGGTATTTTGGATAAGGTTTCAGCAAGCGATTGCAGTATACTCATTTCAGTATCTTGGCTAAATAGACTCTTATCGAAGAATGAGATAACATCGTAGACAAGAGTACAGACAACACATTTACCAAGGTCTTCATTTCCATTAATCTTAAAAAGTCCTGAAAGTTTAAACTATATTGTCGTTGAATCTTACTAATAGTCGTCTAAGCTGTTGAAATCAAAACACAGTAACGGCTTTCATTTGAAAAAAAAAAAAAGTGATTTCTGCCGGCAACACTAACGACAACAAATAATTCTTTAATTACAGCATTTTACAGAATTTAGCAACCTACTCTCAAAGATATGCAGTTTTTTGTTGCTACCTTTTTCAATTTTTTTTTATTTAAATGAGCTTATAAAGGTGGTAGAAGTATTGTTAACAAAAAAAAAAAAGTTGAAAGTATTTCCACTTTGTCTTATTTATTTATCACTCGTTTATTCCCTGAACACTTTTCACTGCTTAAAAGAAGTCATCGACAAAAAAAAAAAAAAAAAAGTATGCTTTGTTCTCTTCGCAATCTTCAATAGGTCCAGACTTAAAATTGCCATTATGTCGTCATAGGCAACATCAAAATCAAGGGTTGAAAAAAAAAAAAAAGTTTAAAAAATTTGACAAACATACCCTTCTTGCATCTTTTTTTCATTACTTTTAAAGCTTGATTTACTGCACCATTGAAAAGTAGTGTTTTTTCACTGGAATTTGTTCTATTAAAGATAGGCAGGCTTTGAAGATTGCTGCAAATGTCTTCTTCTTTGGTGCTGCAGTTTCGTAGGTTCATCTTTAGGTTCATGTTTGGCAACAATTTGGACGTATTGGTCTTCCAGTAGCCGCCAAGCAGCGATGCATGTAGTTGAGTCTTGAAGCAGTCATCAAGACCTGATAAGACGAACATAGATTAGTTGGTGTATGGAGAAAAAAGTGAACAGATATTAGAGTTGATTTTATTGTCTTTTTTCTTTATTTTTGAGAAATAACCGCATAACACTATTATCTTAGATGATAAACCTCTTGTTTAGTATTCAAAAAAAAAAAAAAAAAAAAAAAAAAAAACAAATTCAAA